CTTATATAGACATCATCTTCGACCAAGGAACATATATAAAAATATAAATTTCTATATATTTAAAATATTTGCTTATATTGATCATAATTGTATTTCAGAAATCGTATATCATATCTCTTTTATACAAATCTATGAATATAATAGAAAATCAAGTTAGATCTTAATTCTATAAGTTAAAATCATATTTCTTTTGGTAACAAAGGAAAATTCTTTCTATTATCATATATCTTTATCTATATCAAAATCGTTCTGCTTATCTATAATTCTACAACTACATATCTCTTATGAAATTCATTTCATTCATTCTTCGAACTAAATTGAATTCAATATATATATTTATTTCATAATGATATTTTCTCTTATTATTTAAATTAAATATTATTGCTATTTCAATCTTTTCTATTTATTATTATATATTCTAGAAATTCTTTCTCATAATATCTTTACATATTCCAAATTAAATTTCTTAAGATATTCAATATATTTTTTTATAAATTAAATGATCGGATAATATGCTTCTCAAGCCAATTGAGTCAAAAGAATCATGGCAGCGAAATATGTGCGTGTGTGTGTGTGTGTATGTGTCCATATGAGTCTATATATATGTAAGTGCATATATCTTTTTGTGAGTATATATCTATATGGAGAGGTAAGAGATCCGAACGTCGTCAGAATTTGTCTCTTCTCCCAGAATCTATTATAATTCCGAATGAATGGCGTCTCCCCAGAGTCCACGATAATCGAGCTAGCGAAAATCTTCCAGAGCAGGGGTCTCCAGCGCACGTCATCTTCCTAAGAATCCGCTATAATCTTCAAAATAAATAATAAATAGATTTCGGATCAAAAATCGTGGAGAAATAATTAGTCGAAAAAATAATCGTATATCTTGCGACTTAATCTATCGGAATTCTTTGCGGGCTCCAATCCTTCTATATAAAGCTTAATCAGTCAGTCATACGCCGCGCGGCACGTGGATACGAATGGCTTGACGCCCCGTTCGACCCCAGATATCGAAGTCGTATATAAATCTGATTATTTTACGGGGACCGCCCAAATATTGAAAAATACTATTTCTTTTTTCAGAAATTCATTCACGTCTCAGCCTGCCTACTCGCCTCACATATCTGCTACTAATAGATCGAACAGATCCAGGGATGAATATAGATATATGCAAAAGATGATCCAAGATAAATATGAATCTTCTGATAAATAAGAAAGAAGGAGAATTTCCATTTTTTTACAAATCAACAAATTTTATTGTTATCATTTCGATATATCGATCAAGCTCGTATCCAGGCAAATTTGTGGCATCGACGAAATAATTTATGCCAAGCGATAATTCGATATCTTTCCTATTCGATCTATGAATACGACGCTTATATTGAATTGAAAGCAACTGAAATTTATCCTAATAAAGATCTATATCATATAATTTGTCAGAATTCGCGATTCTAGAAAAGAATTCCTGCATATCATTATCGGAAAATATGAGAAATAATATATCATCGATATAGATAATGTCCGCCATATCTTCTTTTTTACAAACGACTATAGATAATATATCAAGATCAAAAAATAATATCATATAGCAAGATTATCATGAACAATAAAATAATAATGAGCTCAAAATATATTCCTGGAAAATGTCCCGGTTTCTGATGCCGTGAGCTAGAGATGATTCCTTGGATAATTATATAAGAATTTCGACGAAATATCATTATCGAGATCATATCTGATTAGAATCTTGGAATATCAAAATGACGCAACGTATCGAAGAAACTATCAATGATTATGATATCGAAAGCTTTATCATCTAAATGAATATACAAGACGTATTTAATCATTCTATTGTATACAAGTCTTCTCAATCTTCTGTAATCTTCGCGAAATGATATTTCCGAAATTCGAATTGAGATTTCTATAATTTGTCGTCAATTCCATCATCCAGAAAATATTCTTTTAATAGCGATACGATCAATTTATAGGCTATAATTTAGAGATATATGAAATGATAATTATTGATATCATTTTTTATCTTTTTTATATATCATGATAATTGAAATGATCATTCATTCATCAAGAATAAATATATTTTGCCAAAAATAAATATAAAGATCGAGAAATTATTTCAAATTGAAATTCGACTCCAACGCCAGAATTTTTGAAGATTTCTATCGGAATATCTCTATCTTTCGTGACTTTTCCCTTAGATATCTTATAGATATCCTTTCGGAGCTCTTGAAAGCTGAAATCGTCCGAATTCATTATCAAAGAAGGGCCTAAGGGATCATGAATTCCAACGATTAAGGAAGTCGATCGAATTTTCTTTTAGATTCGTTCTAAGTGGAATACGATAATTGCCGCTCTTAATTCTGATAAAACCAAACGCGACGAATAATGATTTCGAAATCGCAGAAGATATCAAATTTTCTAATCAATTAAATCGATCATTTTTAGTCGATTTCTTAATTTCGTTCTTCAAATGCTTTTCAGATTCCACTGACCGCGTAAACGAGCTTCTTATCATTATCGCAAGAAATATAGTGATGCCGGACTAATCCAAAAGTCCGTTTATATAAATGAAAAATCAATGTAGATGCTACTTGATTGTTGAAACGCAAGAGCAAAATTTATTCCAGTAGTCGTTCTTATCCCAGATTTCGATTATAGATGAAATGTGAAAAATCGTTCAATTTTTGCGCGGAGATTTTCTTCAATAAGTCCCTACAAAGCGATATTAAAATCGGCAAGTGCCTCGAAGCGAATAGAAAGAAAATAAAAATTGTTATTATAAAAATATTTAAAAAGAAAATCTTTGGAATCATATTCTTATTATTATCTTAATCGCTAAAAAAAGAGTCTTTTCAAATCAAAAATTTCGTCCAATTTATTATAATTTTTATAAAATCACGAATTTATTTCTTGTATATATAGTCATTAATAAATCTATATCAATTTTTTTATGAATTCAGAATACCAAAACTCATAATAATAATAATAGTAATATTAAAATTATATTTCTCATATTTTTTTTTTTCCTATCTATCCAACTACCAATATGTTTTAATCTTCCACGGCGGCGGGTCCCGTCCGAGCGCGCGACGCCTCTCCTAAAGCCACCTATAATCTTCCAGAGCAGGGGGTCCGACGCCTCCCCCAACCCCACAACCCGCTACAATATGAATTATATATGCTTATCGAAATATTTTTGAATAAGAACGATCAAATATTGAATTGTGATAGTTCTACTGTGCTTCAAAAAGTTCATTTATCCATGTCATGACTTCCCATGATCTCAATATCTTTATTAATATGGATGCAAATCGCAGGGGTATTTTGAGGCCCAGAATGGTAAAGTTTGAGCTCAGAGTTCCAGAGATCGAGCCTGCAAGGAGCAAGCAAACATGTGTATCAGAGAGAAAGAAACACAGGGTTTAGGGTTTAGGGTTTGAGGGTTTAGGTCGCGAATGGCAAGCCCTGCCTCTCGTAATCTGAGGGTCCTCCGATCATTGAGCATTTGGCGATTTGGATTGTCCTCGTCGCATTCGTTCCTAGGCTGCGGCCGATGACCCGTATGATGGTTCACGCAGAGTTTGCAGTGCGTCTTAAGAGTCTGACTTTCTGACGCACTGGTCTCATTGGATCTCCGTGCCTGAATAAGTAAGTCCCACACGTCGTGTACGACCAAAACTCATTGGATTTTCTGTAATCTCCAACCTGAAATTCGAGCAGACAAAGCTGATTGCAGGTACAGACCTAGCAGTGTAGCTGGCTCAGTCGTCGTGAAATAGAAGAAACAAGGTAACTCCGCAATTGCATCCAAGCACATATATAAACTTCAAGATCGTGCGCGTTCCACCATCTGTTGATGAGACACAATGTGTCGCTGCATTTACGCCTCGGACGAAGACGAGGTTCATCGACACTCTAGCAAGCACACTCAACTACTGAGTGTGTGACCCACCATCATGATGGAATTCGGCTTGGTTTGGACGAGATGCAACCTGAGCTCGCACAACAACAAATACGGCAGCTGCAAGTGCTCCAACAAGCAGGCATTAAGACCACGGCTTGCCCGCCGCGTCCCAGAAGCTGACCTTATAATTATTCCGAGCAGCTGTGATGCATCTCAGGTGAATGTTGCTGCCAAGTCACGTTGCAGCGCGAGTCGTTGTCTACTGTGAAGGCGAACTCCAGGTCTTTGCGAGGCACCTGCAAACAGTTCTGCTGCACCCTTGCCTGCGCTACAGTTTCACGGGTGTCCTTGTACATCTGCAAGTCCGGATGGCATCCCATTCCTCTGCTTTGCCTCCTGTCAAGGATGGAGCTGCACAGATTCCAACCCGAACTTTCGGACGTAAGAGCCAGGCCCATACTCACGGACTTCGATTGGGAAATCGGAGGGCCACATGGGTCCCTGCAGGGCTTTGCACGGCTCCGAACAGACATCGGGGGACTGGCTCTGGGTCGAAGGACCACCTCGGCGTTCACGGCCGACACCCATTGTCGGAAAGGGTCATTGCCTTAAAATTCCCAGGATTTGGAGAAAGACGCACGTCGACATCTGCAGTAAGGACGGCCGGCGAGTTGACGCGACGGCGGTGCACGACTACTATGGCAGTGTCTTCCTGGTTTGTGTTTCTGTGTGAAGAGTCTAATGTTATTGTGCTTTTGAGCACTCCCGACTACCTGAGCAGGACGGAATGCAACTGCAGCGATGCAGCACACTTAGCTTGTACTTTCGGTGCCGGAGTGGCGAATGGATACTAGGAAAAAAAGACAGGGACCAATGGGACAGACGATGTCGTCACCTAGTCGTTGTCCGGAAATCAGAATCTTGTGCCAGACTTCGAGCTTTGTCCTCATGTGCATAAGCCCTTGTCACCCCTACTGAAGATTGCGGAAGGGGCTGAAGCTTGCACGCAAACGATTCGAGCGTAAATATGATTAATGTGAATGCCACGTTGCGTCACTGTCAACAAAAGCACTTGCAGCACCCTTTGCTAGGAACAAAGGAATGAAATCTCTGACATAAGAAAATTTCCTCGAGCATGCATATGCATACCTGTATACACATGTATGTATGTGTATGTATGTATATATGTATATATGTATATATATATATGTGGTCAGGCGTCTGGCGTTCCCAGACCCCCCCCCCAATGGTATGGTCTAGTAGGGGTGGGGGGGGGGGGCCGGCGGGTGCGGAGAGGGGTCGGGGCGGTTGGGTGGGGTGCTCCTGGGGGGCGGCCAGGGGTGACAGAGCGGGCCGGGATCTTACGCAAGCCCTTTGCAAGCCGTAAACCCTTTAACATAGGGCGTGTTCCTGGTTTCGTTAACCTTAACTTGAGGGACCTGTACTTTAAACCTTACACCCAACCCTAAACCCCGCCTAAAAAGCTTGAAGCAAACCATAAACCGTCACCCTAACCAACCTACACCCAAACCCTCCCTAAGCTCTAATCGACTCGAAGCCTTTTCACTTTTAGCCTGAAGCCCTAAACCACAAAAACGCACAACCACACCACAGGTGACGAGGGACCCCACGGCCCACTCGAGGGAGGGGGGGCCGCGGAGCGCCTGACCATATGTATATATATATATATGTGCACCATCATGTTTGTCATATATGAGAAAAAATAGATAGTACATAGTAAGAGAGATGTCTACGTGTACATACAATGTATGAGGTAGAATATACGCTATAACATGACATATAGTGTGTAATATATATATATATAGATGGATAGATAGATAGATAGATAGATAGTACATGCTATGTATATACACATATATGTCTATATGCAACATGTACCATGTAATGCTAGATCTCATTTCTCATGAATGTAACATCCAACATACTTATACTCAGCATCGCCGCGTTCCGGCATATCAGTGTCTGAGGATCTGCCAGGTTGCCGTAGATCAAGCGGTAAAGGCTGGAGTTTCGAGGGAAGTGGTCCAGGACGTAGCCTCTGAATGACGCTTAAGAGTTGAGGTATCAGTTTAGGGTCCAGGGTTTAGGGTATGGGGCAGCCGACTTCCTGACACCATGCTGTTGCAACTGGTAACCGAACAAGCCTAAACCCTAAACCCTAAAACCCTGAACCCTAAACCCTGAACCCTAAAGCTTGGCGGCCTCCCAGTCGGTTCTTGCCGTCCAAATTGCAATTCGCCTTGCGAAATTTCCACAACTCGTACAACGCGCAGGCACCCCTGCGATCGCAAACCTCGAGGCCTAAGCTTTCAAGTGCGCGCGAGTTGTGCAAACCTCCGGCCTCGACGTCTTCAGACCTCCATAATCTGTCGGTCTCTTCCTGTCGGCAAAGGTAAGCTGAATGGAAACATCGGGGCACAACGGTGCAATTAGTGCCACGATTGGGCTCTCGTTTCCGTGTTCCTGGGCATATTCAATACTGGAAGGCCGGTCTGTCAACCTGTGCGGCGTCTCAAAACTCTCAACCCGCACTCTCCAGCTCCAGTAACGCACAAGCTCCTTCAGCAAACAACCTTCAACAACTCACCAGTGAACTACCGAGGGCTGACTCACGCATCGCCAAGTCCGAAACCAACCCCTCGCCTTGATGGCCGCAAAGGTCTCCGGATCGAAGAAGTCTTCCGCGTAGATGATATGATCATTCGCCTGGAGGGGCGTGTTTTGAGTAAGAACATGAGTATGCACATTTATGCATCTTGACGCGGTATAGACACGTGTACATACGTCTACTTCTATACATCTGTTCGGAATTGTACGTACATACATGCGTGTCTGTGGAAGTGGTGCCGAACATACTGTACATGCATGCATACATACATGCATACATACATACATACACACACCTCTTCACAACCATGCTGCGAAAGACAAGATTCCAAGCCACTGCTCTATCTACGGTTGAGTGTGCACGTATAGCAAGAGCTTTAGTACGAAGAAGAAGAAGAAGAGGAAGAGCACGCAGACAAGGGCAAAACTTCAGGACTCCCCACTAAACCCTAAAGCCTAAACCCTAAACCTAAACCCCAAACCCTGAACCCTAACCCCTAAACCCTAAACCTTAAACCCTAAACTCCAGCTCAGCTTCGGCCCGCCTTGAAGATCTTCGCCTGA